TTCAAGTTTAGCTAGACAGTATTTTCAGTTGGAAAACATAATTTCTTTACCTTAGTTTTCAAAGTTTTCTGTAGAAGTGCAGCTGCTTCAGAATAAGGTATTATTCTAGACTAAGGAACAAAGTGGTTTTATTAGTGTTAATACCAGATAAAGAGTAAAATAAAATAGATAAAATGTGATAATTTACAAAATATAGTGTTCTATAATAATAATTTTGTTTACTGGAAAAGCATTTGAATCTAAGAAGTTTTCCATGGGAGAGAAGCAGGAGGACTATTACACTATTTCCTATGTCTAACTGAACAAGATGCATTTAAAATTACAGAGTGCTGTTACTCCGTGTGTCTAGATACTAAATCCAAATGAAACTGTCTCTTAAAAAGTAATGCATGCAATAGAGAAGTTTTCTTCTGTGCACGCGTCCTCCTTTAGGCTCCTCTTCTTCAATGATTTTAAGGAGTGCTATTCCATGGAAGAAATGTCAGTTGTGTTACAATTCCTCTATACATTTTTGGTTGGATTTCATGGCTCAAATGTTTCCATTCATAGGATGATAGAAAAGTTGTGTTCTTCTGCCCTAACTGCATGCATTCTGTGACAGCAACAAAGTCCTCAACTTACGGTCTTAGATTGCTATTCCAGTGGAAGAGGTACTTTATGGCGAACTGCATATGATATGGTAGTTTTGGGTGAGCTTTAAATTACATGGTAAATATAGGATGTTCCATTCTGTTCTTAACCACGTAAAGCACCGTTCTGAATCAAAGCTTTTCTGCTAGAAACAACGTAAGTCCATTCTGGACTGATATTTTTAAATGGAAAAAAAAAAAAAGTTAATTAACATTTCTATGGACATTTGACCAATTGTCTTGAAATTTTGCCCGAAAGGTTTCCTTATTCTTCAAAGAGAATGTTAGAGCTTTAGAAATACGAAGATGAGTTTAAAGGTAATGCAGGGAGAAAAATTGGAAATTAAAATGTCAGATGCATTTAGCCCTCTCTCCATAATAAGTCCATTCACTGATTAAATTATGAGCAGACCCAGCTTTCTGTGTTCAGCATGCTTTTAGGCCAGATTTATGACACTTTGAGAGAAGTACCTGCTTAAGGCCCAAACCTAGGATAGTTTTGTTAGCTGTATTTTAATTTGTATTTCTTTCTTGGAAGTCCTAAGACGCTGCTGAGTGCCTACATATTCTCAAGCCTCTCTGTATGACTGAGACACCAAAGGAAAAAAATAGGACCTAGTCTTAATGATATTTAAAATCTCATCTAAATCACCAAGCTCTTAACTTAGTGAAATACATTTAAGGTGCTTTAAGTCTGAAGCTGATATTTTAATTAAAAAAATATGCATGGAAATAACAATTTCAAAAGAGTGCTAGAGTGCTCAGCGATCTGCAGTCACTGTGCTGATGTGTAGGGTTGAGTGAACAGTGAAGTTAGAAGTTCTCATGTTCTGTTGAATGCTCAGTTTTAATGTCCTGTGGATTTTTGTTTGTTTGTTTGTTTGTGGTTTTTTTTTTCTTTTTTTTTTTCTTTTTTTCCCAGTGATCTTTAACATTCAGTCAAAGAACAAGAAATGAGGATTGTAATGTTAAACCGGCTACCTCTGAATGAAGTCCTCTTTCATGAATGCCAGTTAATTTCTGGTACTGTGGTGGTTCAACCCCATTTATTTCACTGGAGTGAACAATGGATATTGCAACATTGGGAGTTTTCTGAACTTAAATGACAAAAATATTGTCAAAAAAATAAAAAGACTGAAAGCTATCAGAGAAACAATTAAAAGGATGATCCCAGATGTGAGCTTATGGCAGATATATCAGCCATTCAAACACACTTCTCTTGTCCTGCACTTCAGTGCAAGCAGCAAGTGAGTGGTGTCACCCAGTGCCTTGGATACCTGGGAGAGCACCATCGTGTCAGGACTGTGAGAGCTAGTGGCTGCCAGTCTCTTATTTTTCTGTTTTTGATTCTTTCAGTTGCCTCAGTTTTCCCTTTATTTCAGTTGTTGTCCCAAGTATCTCAAGTTTCCCTTGTTTTCTTATCTCTGTCTTCCCTTTCTTTCCTTCCAAGGTTGTGTTAGGGTTTGGCTGCTCCAGTTGCAAGAGGAAAATCAGTACAAAATTTATTTTTTTTCAGTTTGATTTGTGACAGGAAAGGTGACTGCATTGCATTATTACTTTTTTTTTTTTTTAACATCCATAACATTGGGTTGTAGTTTGCTTTTGCTTAGTTTTTGTTGTATATGCATTATAGCTGTGAGAAGAAAAAACAGGCTTTTTATAATGACATTTTTTCTATCTGTTCTGTAAAATACTAATTTTTGCATGTATACTTTCACTATTTCCACATTGCTGTGCTTGTAAATAAGTTATGATCACCAAAAGAATATTTCCATTGCTAATGAGAAGTACCTTGCTGTCAGATATAAATTATTCATTGCTTTTCATGTCATCTGCTCTTGATCAAAGAAACTTTTCTTTAATTCTTATAATAGTTAACAAATCTCCCTACATGTGAAGACTTTTTCTTCAGAATGTTTTTACATACTGTTTAATTTTTAACTTTTCTAAGTTTTGAACTCCACTTTTTTATTAAAAAAAAAAAGCAGCTGAGCTCAGTATACAGTATTATATAAGTGAAACTCCATAAACATGCATAGTAAATACTATATTTCTGTTATATCATTCTGCTGCCTAGTTTAATAAAGCCTCAAGATCCAGAGCTCACAGGCATGATGGCAATAAAACACGGTATTAATAATCTCTTATAAGAGAAAATTGACATTAGATCTAACGTAAAACTGATATAAAATACTGAGTCTAAAACAGGAATGCTTGTTGTTCTAAAATGTAATTCAGATCTTTTCTAAACACCCATTTATTGCATTTACTAAACATACAGGAATACAAACCTGTTAATGCACTGACAACCAGAGATGGAGTTGACAAAGGCAAATGGTGTAAAGGCTTAGGTTTCACTAGCTGGTGATGAAATCATGCTACTTCGGGAGATGGGAAGTGTGGTCAGTAATGCAAGCATGTGATGTAACACACTATTAAAAAAGTCACAGAGAGAGGGGATCTGCTTTCGGCATCTGATACTTGCCCCAATTCCTTGTATTTTTTTTTTATTTTTTTTTTTTTGCCTTCCCCAAAATGTTCTTCCCTTTTACTCCTTTTTCATAGAGTTAATTTTCAGCATTTTCCTGATAATTTTCACATTCTTCTGAATTTTTTCTCAGACTTGGAAGATTTGAGTTGCAGTTATTTCTCTTTTCTTACATCATATACTTCTGCATGCTGTAAGGTAGCTGGGTACCATTTTCTCTATAGTCTCTGTTGCTCAGTCATCATATAACAATCATGATTTCAGCAGCCCACTGGCATGCGATTATGTGAGCATAGACAACATCTAGTCTCTAAATTAATGGCTATGTAGGTGAAATTGTTGGATGTGTATTTATTAGAATGGTTTGGATTTGGGCTTTTAATTTCTTTAAAAAAATACTATTGACTGCACAGTCAAGGACTAATCTTACACTTCTTGCTAGTTTTGATAAACTAATATCCTTTAGGGTTTGATTTCAAAGCGTTTATTTTTGGTTGTACTAAAACAGAAATGGAACAGAGACTTACTGGCTTGATTTGAATCTCTTAGAATAGAACATAAATACATTGTTTAGCATTCTCTTGTGAATCAGGGTAGAACAAATCTTCTGTGGATTATAATCTAATGCCAGGATTTTATTTCTAGAACACAACTAGTAGGTTGAATTATGTTCACTTCCCTGTGTTGAAGCCTTTGATTTACTTCGGTTTCAAGACTGTGGAATAATAGAACTTCGTACTTGTGCTGCTTGTGCATAAATCTTTTCCATATAAACTAAAAGTAATGGATATAGCTAGTGTTCCTTATTCATATTCATTTCTGCCAACAAAGGGATTGTATCAGACAGCATGTGCTAAACTTGTACAAAGGAGGGACTTAAGTAATTACTTGGCTTTGGAAAATTGTACGTGTATGGTTTAAAGGATCACTAGTATTTAGAGGAATGTGTTTGGACTGCAGAATAACTTACCTCCATCTCTGTCTGCTGAGCCTTCCATAAAATTCAAGTACAGGAGCAATGAAGTGTATTGCCATAAAAACCCTTCATACTTTCCCCTTTCTATACAGTGGATGTGGCTCACACTGGCTGGACAATTGATTGCAGTCGGTAAATGCTGATCTGTAAAGCCCAAATGAATAATTTGAAACAGTTACTTGTGCTGTCTTGAAATTCCAAACCCAATTTCAGTAACATTTACTATATGCAGCTGTAAATTAATATTCTGAGGAGATGAAATAAGATGGTAGCATGAAGACACCACAAAGAGCCCTTTACATCAGCTGATGAGAATTTTCACAGAAATTAATATATAACATTTTGGTGTGAAATAGCTGCCACTGTAGGAGATGATATCATTGGTGTTTCATAGTGTTTTTGTCTAATGTCTCTATTTCTAACACTTCTTAAAAAACTGTTACAACTCTGCATGTACTCACTAGGTCTGTCCAAAGTACTCGTCCCCAACCATAGTGCTTTTCCTGTTAGGAAGTTGTTTGTGAGCAGATTCTGAATTGTGCAAAGTGTCAGCTAGTAACAAAAGTTTGCCAGATAGTTTGCACGAACAAATCTGAGGTTGAAGTGCACTGTAAAATATTTATCTTATGCCTTAAATGACTTCTGAGAAGTCATTTAAATTATGGAAGATATTAAAAAAAAACTTTGCTATGACTTACCTGGCTTCTATACATGAAGCAAACAGTTTTTGCTTTCATTCATAACTGATGAATTAGACTGGCAAACACTGCTGAACTAAATGCTATGTTTGCTTATTACTTCACACATAAATACAAAAACTCAATGTTTTTTAGCCTGTAAGTCAAACATGCAGAAGCTCGAAACTTCCCTAATTACAGTAACAATTGAGCTCTTTCTCCATTTGCAGTTTGATACTATGCTGGAACTTAGAAGCATGCCTCATGCAGTGTGTGCACCTTTTCCACTTGGCATATGCCTGGTTGGCTTCTCAGAGAGAGCAGTGTACTTCCTCCTCACCCACGGAATGCTGTGCTGCTACCTTCGATGCCATCCTCAAACCCTTCTCTGAACATGAACCCCGCATTTCCTCATAGACTTCTCAGGTACCTATAACTGCGTTTTCCACATTCTTTCTCACTATACTCCTGCAAGATGAATGGCTGTTGGCCACTGTTTATGATAGAACTGCAGAGGTTTAATGACATGTAGTCTCCAATATTTTATAATCTTATATTGACTATGCTATTGTAATACATAAGATGCACATTTTAAAGGCAGCCTTAGACTTAGCAGGTTCCACTGCTATGAGTTTTTAGAGTTTTATGTTGTATCTTTAATAACATTTTTTACATATCTGACGTGCTTCTGACAACTTTCTCAAAAAATAACTAAAAAAATAACCAGACCTGAGTCAAACTTCCTGACTGTCAAGGTTCTGGCAGTGTGCACAGTGAGACTCCTGGGCTCTCCCCTACAGGCCCTGTGATATTGGGGATTACTCTGTAAATGCAGCAGCTCCAGAAGGCAGAGGACACTCTACTCGTAAGTTTCACAGATAATTGCTGGCACAGAGGGTGGAAGTTGGGTTCAGTTACAAGCTGCGATGGGAATTGGTCCAATGAATAGAGAATGCTCTGCCTGTGTACTTCAAGCTTTAGATTCCTTCTGCACCATCTTTATATCCTGCCCCACAAAGAATCCTTTCTGGCAGACTTCTCATACTAGTCTCTTTTTCCTCATGAGAAGTATTCAAGCCAGCCCTGCTAAGGATTTTTAATGACATTTCTATTCTTCCTGCTTTCTAAACTGTAGACCTCAGACAGTCTTCAGTGCTTTTTGTCCAGTCTGTATATTTGCTCTTTCTTCTGTCCTAACAGAGGTCTGTTGACACTGTCCTATTCAAGCAGATGGAAAATATGATGGCTGTGACAGAAAGGACAAGCTTCTTTCAAGTCTTTTTTTTCCAACAAGGTAAGAATGAGAAATCATTTCAAATAAAGTCTTTGTTTGTTTGTTTGTTTGTTTGTTTGTTTTTAATCTTTGAGATGTGGGGGTGGAGGCAACCATGATTGTCCTCAGTTGTGTTTAAAATGCATGAATAATTTTGGCTGATTTTTTTAAGTCAGTCTAGGACATAATTATGACTTAGGAAGGCTTTATACGATATCCTTGCATTTTTGAGAAATGTTAAATGATTACATAATTGTAGTCTAAGTAATACAAAATCTGAAGAGTTCTAGCATAAGAGGGTGTTGTTACCTGTGCTTAATCCCAATGCTTTTGAAGGAGCCACAATTCAGTCTAATGGAATACTCTCATTTGCATGTTCATCACCTTTTATAATATGTCATTTAATGTGTTTAATATTTTCTATGCTACAATAACATTAATTATACAGTAATGTTGATATAAAACTTGTTTCTGTGATGTTACAAAATTTCCTGTGTCATGCAGTTTTGTTGATAGCCATTGCCCAGATAAAATGTACTGCACTACTGCAGTCCTCAGATCTGTCTTCATTCCTGTGTGTGACATGCAGTCACGGTCTGTCGTGTGCCAGGAGCTATGTGTGATGTATCAAGGAACATGATGGGAAGGAGCCACAGCACTGTGCCAGAGCTGGGACCTGTGCTGCCCCGCAACGGTCTGTTAGGAAGAGAATTTGCTAGTATGTTATCTTGGCTCCTGTCTGGCCACATCCAGAGGGAGCTAGTTTGTCAGTCACTGTTGTTAAGTCAGGAAGCCAAGTAAGAAATAGATGGTTAGAAGTTGAAAGAATAACAAAAGAAGACTTCCTTGCCAAAAAGACAGAGCTCTGAGCATTTACAGAAAATTAAGCTTTATAGATAAATTATAATTAATGGTATTTCATTTATTTGAAGGGACATCATCAATATCATTGTCATTACATTATAGCACAGTTATTTTGAAAGAATGTCTTACAACTTTCTTTAGGTATGCTTTCAGTTCTTGCATAGACTTCAATTTACTAATAACATTTTTGGCATTAACCTGATGTTATTTTACTTAAATACATAAATTCTTATATAGTGCAATTAAAAATATTTTCCTTAGTGCTTAAGCATAATTTTAAAATCTGAAACTGCATATTATCACGTTAAAATCTGCAATGCAGAAAAAATTCTAGTATTGACAATAACAGAATAAAAAGACATGAGAAAGAGGGAAATGCACCAGAGAAAATCTGGGAGAAATGATCTGTGATATAATTTCATATAATTTAATCTATTATCTTTTGACCGTGATTAACTGGATGAGAAGCAATGGGCTTGGAATCTCAGAAACAAAAGCAAAAACATTTCAAGTTATTAGAAACTATTTGTGTCAGAAAGCAGAAAAATATATTGCTGGAAAAGCTGTAGAATCTCTAGTATTGGAGTTATTTAAGAACATGGTAGACACAGATGTGTCAGAATGAAATAAATATAGGCAGCTGGCAAGGGGATAGAATAAATAACCCTTATTTTTTGTCACTGGAAGCTATGAAGGCATTGAAGAAACAAAATGAAAGTACATGCAATATTTTTAGTTTCACGTGGGGAAATACAGGCAAAGACTTTACATGACACGTGATGGGAAATTTCTGTGCAGCTCCAAGGATATTTTTACTGAGCTGATTCCTCAGTACTACACGTTTAGAGATGAATTTGAGGGGCTCAGTAATGAACAAGAATGGGGATAAAAGGAGAAATGTTAATGAAATGTGGGTTTTTCCTTTTCTAAAGTATAATCCATTTTCAACTCACTTAACTCTGTTAAACTCCCTTGAAAAATCTCATTCCCCAGCACTGTTTTATAACTGGCTCGTGTAACCTGACTACAGGGAAAGAAAAAGCAGCATTACGGTATGGGATTTCTTTTCTGCTATTTTCCACTTCAAAGGATAATTAATTTATTAAGAAGGAATTACTGTGGCTGGTGGACTTCCACTGTGGCTAGGTATCATCAATGTGATTTTAGTCCTATAAATGCCTGTCATGTGCTGGAATCAGAGTTCTTGTCCTAAAAAGTCAGAAAAACTGGAGAAAGATATAAATGAGCGGAGTGGTTAAAGATGTACCTTTTTACACCTGAGAATTTCAGAAGAGCCTTAAGGGACACAGGCATTAATTTCCTATTCAAATACTGTATAGAGTTGAGTGCCTAACATCTTTTGGCAGATAAACCCCAGAGGTTTAGGACTGCTCTGTAGTGGAGTGGAAAAGAAACTTGTCCTATTCTCATACAGTTGGTGTAAGTTTAAATATTTCAAAAGCAAGTTAAACACTAATTTACTTTGCTTGGCAAAGTCACAGGGCCATTCATACGTGCTGCCCTCAGTCAAACCTCCTTCTCACCACCTAGGGTCTGACAGTGCTTCATAATGCCTTAAAATTTAAAAGCTCCATTCCAACAGTACTGAGATTTAGGTTTATTAAAAGCTCATGTTCATAACTCTACACAAGAATTCATTTCTCTCTTAGGGACAGAAATGAAAAGACTGAACCAACTATAACTGTGACTTACCAGCATCATGATAACAATTTTTTTTTATTTATTTTTTTTTGTCCTAACTGTTGCCCTAAGAACAGGTTGGGTCCCCCCCCACACACACACACCTTTTTTTTCCACCGTTAAAGAGAAGTGCAGCTGGTGTCACCTGTGTATTAGTTGAAACTGAAATACTGCCATGTATCAATGCTCATGTCTTAGACCAGTTAGACTGGGACTTCTGGCATGAGTATTTTGAGGGCAACTGCTACCAAATGGAAATCATCTTGTAGTTAACTTTTCCCCTCTCAGAACTGAAACATTTTCCATACTGAGTAATATGGTAAAGAACTACAATGCAACTGAAATACATGTACATGGTTCTTCGAGAGTGCTAATGACATTTACACTGGCTGCAGCAACCTCAGGGGTTGATCTTTTGATGTTCTGCTGATAAGATTACCAGCATTTCAATTCTTAAGAGTTTGAAAATAAATCCTTAGAGAAAACAGCTACATCCACAGCATTTTATTCTTACATTTGATAAAGGCCATTATGATGTTAGAGAAAATACTGTTTGTTCATTAAAGTGTTTATCAGGACTGTTGTGCCCCTGAGAACTTGAGGAATCTTGTTGATCTGGAATGAACTTTCCTTTCCTGCTCTGTGCCTCCCTTTGGCACAACATCCCTGAGGGGCCTCTGGAGGCAATGTCACCTACTTAGTGTGGTTCTGTGGTATTTTTGGCCTGTAGATTCATGTTAACATTAAGACACCATTTTCTTTGTGCATTAGGCAAAAATCTTGTCTATTGCAGAGGCAGCAGTACTGACATGACTATTAAGTGAGGCTAAATGAGCCTGCAGTATGCGGTGGCCTTCATTGCATGGTTACATAGCTGACGGTCAGAATTCAGATGTGGATTTCTTTCAATGGAAAGAAATGTGGTATATCCAGAGGACATTTTTTTCCATCACTGGTGATTTTACTGCAGGTGATTGAAAGGTAGAATCTTAAATACAGATTGAATTAGTTGTTACTATACTCATTTCAACTGGGCTGGTAGCAACAAGCAATTAAAAGTGGGCATTTAAAACGTGTTAGTGGTCATTTTGATTCACAAATGGTCTGGTAAATAATTTCTTTTACAGAAAAAGTTCCCGTTAGACTTCAGAAGAAACTGATCCTGAACACCAACACTTCAATATGTTGCCAGATCTCACGTAACTTGTCAAACATTTATATTCTGTGTTGGGGAGAAATGATGACTTAAATCTAAAGGGAGGTGTTTTTAGTTCGATGATCTGTTAGACTTGCATCAACACAACGTCTCCAGGTATTTTAAAAGCATCAGCATTAAGCTGATGGGAGAAATTACAGAAAGTGATTTGAGGGTGATATAAGTAATAGCATGGGAAGAAGCTAATTGGAATTGAAAGATTCTTGAGAAAGTGAGAGTTACTTGCATAGGCACTGGGATACAGGTTTTTCAGCCTGGTGGTCAGCACACTTACTTTGTAGTCACAGTGAACATTTAATTTCCTTTAAGCAAAGCTCAAAGCAGAAAAGAAAAAGCCAAAAGATAGAAGTTCTGTTCCAGTTCATGCCAGAACTACTACACATTCCATGTTCCATTTGTATTCCAGAGCCCTGTCACCTTGCTGTTTCTTACATGATCAATATCTTTTACCCTCTACTGCCAGTTCACACGGTTCAATCAGGCCAATACTTCTGCTCCCAGTTAGGCTTGATAAAATAGCAAGATTTGTTTGTGAAAATGTTAATGATCTATGGCTTCTGTCTGCAAAGGAAAAGGCATGACCTGCCAGCTTTGTGGTGAGGTATACACCATGCAGAGATGGTTTGTATATCTTTTGAAAAAAGAGAATTTAGGACTGGTCATTCAGAAAACTTCACTGTATGAAAGTACATGAAAAATTGGATAGACACAAAGAGTTCTGCGGTAGAGTCTCAACAGATGTTTTGTTAAAAGACACACTGATTTTTTCCAGCAAAGTATCTAACCCTGTCTCTGGGGCTGTTTCCTGACATCAGTCTCTCTTTCATTTCCATAGTTTAAAAATCTGTTTTGGATTTCTAGAAGAGGTGAAGAACTATAAAGCTAAAGTAAAGGGTAATTTAGAAATGACTAGTAAGAAAATCCATGGATATGGAAGGTTTTCTAAATTATATTTGTTCAAGTTATGCTTATGTAAAAGCTTCAGCATGTTGTGGGTTTTGGGTCTTCCTCTTCACTTTGTTAGCCAGGAGAACAGCATACAGAGAATCCATAACTTGGCTACCCCTCTGCACTTCTGTTCTCTGCACTGGGGTGATTTCCTAGGGCTGGTACCAAAGGAGAAACAGGCTAGTTTGCATGGCAGATTAGTTTGCATGGTTGTATTTGGGGATTTTGCCAAACTGCTTGGTTTTGAGTTTTACTTGTCTTAACAAATTAAATTTAACTTGAAAACATAAAA